AGTATATAATACCAGTACCAGTTGAAACCACATCTGTTGGCTCCGTGTTCGTATGTTATCATCTCCGCCAGAGAAGTCTTTATGTTACTGTTGCCATTTTGGTATTTGAACCATCACACCTGTACTATACCAATTGCGGTAATATTACGTTGCGTGTGATAATTTTCTTCTTTAATATACATCTTTTATAATTTACTGATTCAAGAAACTATCATTGAAAAATTCACAGCACTGATGTGTCACTTACATAATATTGCATTTTTTTCTATTTTAATTTGTTATATTAAAATTCATTAGTAATAACTAATATATACAAGGGGCGTTCATTAAGTAATACCCCTGACCCATTTCCCATAGCAGGAGATTAATGAAACTTGGCACAGTTATTAGTGTTTTTCTACCTAGGAACCACCCAGAGCTATACATTCTCCCATCGTTTGATGCAGCTCTGGACACCGTTTTGGTCCTCCAACCACGTCGTAATTTCAGAAATCAAGGCTGCAACATATGTGAAATGCTTTCCTTTCAAAAAGAACTTCATGGCTGGGAAGAGATGAAAGTCAGAGGGTGCAAGGTCAGGAGAGTAATTGGGATGGGGGGATTTCAGAGTCACATGCCTGTGCTTCTGATCTGGCGACATGCGAGTTGTCCTGCAGGAGGAGGATGCCTTTGCTGATCTTGCCCTGCCTCTTGATTTTGATAGCTTCTCTTAATTCATCAAAAGTGAAGCGTAATAGGCTCCTATAATTGTGGTGCCCTTTGCCAGGAAATCTGTCATCACTACTCCGTTCTGGTCCTAGAAGACTGTGAGCATGACCTTGCCAGCGGAGGCCTGCACCCTGCCTTCTTTGGAGGTGCTTCCACTGCATTGACTGGGCTTTGGTCTCTGGATCATAGTGATGGACCCATCTTCTTGGCACATCTCCAAATTCATCCTCAAGCACTCAACGCGTTCTTGCTTCTGGAAAGGGGTGAGCAACCTGGGAATCCATCTGTCAGACACCTTATGCATATGCAAATGGTTATGAATGGTAGTTTCCACAAACCCTGTACTAATCTTGGACTATTTGGCGAACAGTAATGCGTCGATCTTCTAAAATGGCTGCCTCAACTTGCTGGACAGATGTCTCATTAATGCCAGAAGAGGGACGACCAAGTCTGGGAGCTGTTTCCACAGACTTCTGGTATTCCTATATTAATACCAGCTGTTAATGACACGTAAAACATTAATTCTCAACTCCCATGAAAGAACAAGTGACAACGAAAGCTACTCACTGCTAAAGCCACTCTTCACGAAAGCCACTGATCGCGAAGCTACATGTGTCAATATGTAAATATCTTTTTCAACTGAAACTATATTTTATATTACTTTCGGATGTAACTATTTATTAATTTGCATGATATCATCTATTTATCTATGGAAATTACTGTACATGTACGCCATCTCGCCGGTCATTCCAGCTGGGTATATTGCTGTACATGTATCGGGAAAACATATTTCAATTATTTATGACTGAAATTATATTCACGAGAACGGCCATCGGATCATATAAACTGTCAATCATTGCAACCGTGTTACATTACAGCGGCGTATGGGATTAACAGACAGTCAACAAATTCTAAATTGAATATTAAATACTATATCAATATGCATCTCCACATATTAAAAAGTACGATTCCTGAATGCGTAATAGCGAATATATACATTACCCGTTATACAAGCACGAATTAATTTTACCAAAAAATAAGACATATTTGTTCTATTACATGCGATTAGTTCTGTATATATAATCCATAAACCTAGTGACAACCGTTGGAAAGCACAGTCCAGTGATAGCCCGCACGCTCTTAACAACACATGTTTTAGATCGGAACTATATATGTTGCAGTGCATACTGCATATATTGTGATATGATGAAGATGAATGAACATCATTGAGGGGGATAATGGAAATCTGGTCGTTGAATACACGGATATTGACTTTCAAAAATAAGCAGCGATTGGGCGAGTTAGGATTGTTCGGATCCACTTGTAAAGAAACGAATTATTGAAGCGTCAGCTGTAAAACACGCATTCGTTGACTCAAAACACCCCGTAATAATTTATGAACAACCCCTTAGTTTGAGCAATCGTATTATTTGATCAGTGTACACGTAGACTGCGGTGCTGCAGAGGTAGGTATATGTTTTATATCTATTTTTATATGTGATTGAACTTGCAGTAAAATGATCGAATTACGTCTTTAAGTAATTAAGCAAAAACAGTTAAATGTGTTTATGTGCGCCCAGACTAGGCTGTCTAACTAGATGCGGACGCCCAAAAATACATGAACAGCTTTATGTTTTGGCATAAACTGAACAAAAATAAAACATATAAATAATACTAATAACTATTTGTTCTTTCAACTTCGATTTCAGATTTCATATATTATAAACGAGCACTTTATTTTACTGTAAATGGCGTTTTCACGGATTAGACCTAGCGGTGAAAGAGTATGTCTGATTTGTATTGGTTTATTTATTGGGTACTACTTCTCCCAGAGGGTAAGTTATTTTATATGAGCAATATTTATTCTCTAAAATAATCGACTTGACTTTGTGAAAGCAACTTTATCAATATACCCGTCATTTGT